AAATTTTCAGAATAAAAAAAATGCTGCGCTTTGATCAAGTTTACAATTTATTGTATATGGAATGATATGAAATAAACATTAAGGGATGGTATTTTTTGTCTATTACTTGCTTTTTTACGAAGTTTAATCGGGTTGATTAACAAAATACTTATTGATAAAGTATGGTACGCATAATCACAGCCAAGCCCCATGTCCCATTTCTTTTTAATGATTGAAATACATCGGGATCGTTTTACTTGTCATTTTGACGATTTATTTTTGACGTTAAATTTGACGTCACGTCAAACGTTCAATTGAAATCGCAAGAGTTATCTCCCCCAGTGTGTTGTACGTCTCTAATAAACTACACAGGTGTTATCCTATTTAACATATAAAGTCATAGTCTATAGTAAGAGAGAAAAAGTCTATAGTGGGAGAGAAAATTTTCCTTTGCTATAACTGTATATATTTACGATTTGATAATGAATGTTATACCCCTTTCCCTTCTAAACTAGCTGCGAGGGCTGTTCAATAAATAATGTCCCGAACTGTAGGACATACAATACAGATATCATAAGACATTAAACTTGTTTTTCTCTCATAATTGAATCTTTAATGAATTTATAACAGTTTATGTGACCACTTTTCATCACATAGTTTCATTGTGAGAAGCTTGGAAACAAGGGCTTTTCGAGACACTGCATTATAAATGAATGGTAAAGAATCGGTAAACTAGAGTGATAATTAAAGCTTCATCAAAGCTTCTGTAAAACTTGTTAAAAATCCCAAAGAAATATTCAATGAAATATGTATCCTTTACAGCAACCAATGCCTGTTTTATAGACAAATGAGCAGATGGATTTCAATGATAAAAAATTGAATTATATAATGGGCATCAAAAATGGGTACCGTCCTTGCCAACAAAAAATCATAACTTATGTACTGTTTGCCTAATTTCAACAAATAATACTTGATGATGTAAGATTGACTTTAAGACACATAGCAAATTTGATGGACATCACATCGGGGGTATTTTACATCTCTTTAAAGAAACGTTTGACGGTAAAAAAGCTTAGAACTCAAAGGTCACCCTATATTTTTAAAAGTGAGTGAAAACGACAGGGTGTACAAATGTCTTACCATTTTTTTAAATATAAGTAATTGGAGTTATCTACGTTTTTTTTATATTCAAACAGATAATTGAACTTGAATCTATTGCTTAAAATCCTCAAAACAAAATTAACCATAAGATTTACTTGACAAAAACAGCGAAGGCCTGGCGAGAGCAAAGAATTGCAAGAGCACAAAGACAGATTTATATGCAATTTTCTTAAATATTAGTGATATTGTTGTTCAAATTCGTATTCGGGGTGACAGTTTAATTTCTGGATGAGTCTAGCAAGCAAATTCTTTGCAAAAAAATCGAAAGGTTTACTAGAGGAACGACCTAGAATCAGGAATCTACTACATTAAATTTCTTCATGACAGCGTCCAAACCCGCATGCCCTGAAGAGTAAAGGGGTTTTCGGGAAAAAACAGATAGTTAATATTTTTTCACATTCACAATTTTCGCCAGATCTTTGACCTTTTGACTTGTTTCTATTTCCAATCTTGAAAAAAACACCTTTAATAAGGAAGAGACAAGTCCAAGAAATCATTGGATCTTCCATTTTCCAGTATACTAAAGGTAATACCCAAAAATTGGTTCTACAAACAATCTGAAATTGGATAAAATGTTACGGACATGTGTTTTAATTAAAAGAGATTAATAAGTAAAAAAATGAAGACTAAATTATTGAAAAGCGTCTTTTGCTTCTTTCCGAGTACCGAGGACATTATTTATTGAACAGCCCTCGTACATGTACCCTGGCCTTATTTCACGTATAATTTAAAGCTGAACACGGAATATCGATATCATTTTCAACGATACATCAACACTAGGGTATACCCATCGCATTCGTTACTCGTGATCGTATTGTCATGGGTATCGTCGTGGAATAGCGACCCGTGTTCGTGCTTGTTATATTGTATTATCTTTGTTATATTTTATTGCAGTTACGTTTCTCTGTGTTGTTTGTATATTGCACTGACCTGTACAACTATAATTGTAAATTTATTTGGAATCTTACTTTTCTGCATTAGATGGAGTATGACGTTATTATTTTCGCTACGGAATACGGTAAAGCATACATGTACGTCCTTCTAGATCATCGTCGACTGATAACACTGGACAATGACGTAGTCCTGCCTTCATATAGGGGTCTGCAGATTAGCGAAAATCGGGAGCAAAGATGGCTAACACATTCCTTTTACGAATCGTGTTCAGCTTTAATTCACATGAAATCAAACGTTATTGGGTTTTGTTTCATTTCAAAAATAACAAAATAAATATGTATATTTTGAAAAATTCATAAACAATCGTGGGTTTAATTATAATTATAAGAACAAACATCCGGAATTTATGTGGACTTGAAGTAAGAAAATAAAGCGAATATGACAAAAATATTTTGATTTGTTATTTTCTTTTTAAAGGGGTGTTTACATTCGCTGATTGATATCTTTAAAAATATTAAGTTCAGATTTTTTGGATACAGGTGCATACCAGGTAATTTTAAGGTGGTAACTGTTGGTACTCATTCTCCAACATTTTTGCAAAGGAATACTTGACCAAAAACAGAATAAAAATCTCTATTTAAAAATAGAATGGCTTTTTTATTTTAACTTTTGTGTTCTGCAATCATGACAAAGTTTTAGTCGATAAATTGTATGTGGCATGAGATAGCTTCAATTTAACATAATACATGCGTGCATGAAATATTGTAAGGAATATAATATCATTACTTAATTTGCATGAAGTATCATCTTTTCGGTGACAATATAGAAACATTTGTTAATTATTTTTTTCAATTAATTTTTTTTTTGCACCTGACATTAGAATGAATTTTAATAAATTCATAACAAGGATTAAAATGAGAGACAATCCGAGCAAATCACTTATCCTGGGCTCATATTTCGTTCAAGGTTCACTTTGCACTTGTGCCTGCTCTCAATATGCGTTCTCAATTTTTTAACTGGTCATCGTGCACCAATTTTTCACCAAATGGTTGTCAGAGTTTAAACATCGTTCACGTTTCGTTCGCTCTGCAATTGTTCACCGTTTGTTATGACTTTTTCGACATTCTCTCACTCTTTAATTAAAAAGTAGAACGCTTCAGGGGCTATATATATATATATTTAAAAAAAAACTACGGCTATCCTTTGTTGCTCGTATTTCTTTTTGGTTTACAAATGTCGCTGAAAACTTTAAGAATATCTGCCTCAATATTTTTTTCAAATGTCGTTTTTTCTCGATATGATACATTCCAATGCTGAAAAGTTTCAATGTAGTTCTTTATTTATTGATGTCATCCAAAAATACAATACATGAAAAGTTTATTTCAGTGGTTGTTTTTTTTTTATATAATATTACTATAAGTTCTAGAAACTTAAGAGTTAAACAATTTACGACATTTGAAAAGAAAAAAGCATCCACTATCAGTATTTTTTCCTTTCACATATGTTATGATAAAATCATTTTATTTCGTTTGTATTCTCGCCTTTAATTGGTTAATATTCAAAAAAGGAACACCTATTATCTCTGCATAGCCTGGTTTGGTATGGGGACACGCCCCCTAAAAACAGCTGCAGCTGAACCATCTGTGTCCATGCAATTCTCTTATTTCAAATCCTAATCGTCTGCGTGGACAGTGGTTAGAGCGCCTGCTCTAGTAAGTAAGGAGGATCCTTACGTCTAATTAGAAATCGATCCTTACGTCGCGGGATTGAATCCCACTGTTAAAACAAGAGGGCCCCGTGGGATCCCGGTTAGAATAGATCCCCAGTACCCCCTTGCTTGTGATAAAAGGCGACAAAATGGGGCGGTCCTTCGGATGAGACCGTATAAACCGAGGCTCCGTGCCACAGCAGGTGTGAAACTATAAAGATCCCTTCCTGCTCAAAGGCCGTAAGTGCCGAGCATAGGCCTAAATTTGCAGCCTTTCACCGGCAATGGTGACGTCTCCATATCAGTGAAATATTCTGGAGAGGGACGTTAAACAGTAGACAATCAATCAATCATAAAACAAGGGGTCAGACCTTCGGATGATACTGTATAAACCGAGGACACGTGTCGCAGTAGGCGCTGGCACGAAAAAAAAGATATCTCACTGTTCGATGGTAGTAAGTGCTGGCATAAAATTAAATTTACAGCTCCCCATCAGCAAGAGATGGCGTCTCCATATCAGTGAAAACTTCTCGAGAGGGACGTGAAGCATTATACACACATACACACACAATGTCATTCGGTATTTATTGAAAATTCTAGATTTAATAAATGTAACTTCAACTTTTATCAGTAGCCCGATCTTACCACTGGTAAACAAACAACATGGTTGCTACATGTAGGCCTATGTATCAATTTCCATCTCCCCTTGTCGTCACCCTGTTGTATTTTTGAGCGACAAATTTGACAAAATAAAAAAAAATAAAAATCAACGTAATTTTACACACACAGTTCTTTCAGGATTTTAAAAATATTATAAACAATAAGGAATGACGCATATACTTGCCATCATTATTGGAATAAAGTCTTTCGGGGTCAGTTTTCGCGTAAACTTATCCAAACCAGGCTAATCTAGAGTAATTTGGTCTATGAAATGGAAAAGATAAATCCAATATGTAGTCGATAATAGCATTTTGCAGCACAAATAAAAAAATGATGATAGAAAATAAGTTTACATAATCACTCTTCTCTTCAGCTAAAATTAGTAATTTTTCATCCCTTTTCCTGACTTTTTTCGTGTTAGTGACCAGTGAAATTATTTACCTTTGCTGTATATGTGTAAAAAGTATATTGTTATATTGTTAATTAATCTTAATTTTATGAAATAACATTGATTTATCATAAAGTAATACTCTTCCATTTAACCATGGTTGTTTTTATAACTCTCAAAACACTGTTAATTTGTTTGAAATATTTTTAGGTGATAAGGATGGGAAACAATCCGTCAGGTAAGAATAAAAAGTTGAAATTCCATTTATAAGAACATCATTATGTACATGTAGATGCTCACTTGACTTTCAAATCTCCTTTTAAAATTGAATTCCTCACAAGGTAAAGGAATACTTAATATATGTACTGTGGAACTGCTCTTGGACCGCTATGGGATTGTAAAGCAGTCCACGAAATCAGTCATATGAACTGCATTGGAACTGCTTTGTGTCAGGTTGGAAATGGTCGGTACTATATAATTCTTTTTAGACATCTAGCATCAAAGTTTCCTCCTATGATAAATGGCCGTTTTTAAATAAATGGTCATATAATTATTGCAGTTCTCATATTTTGTGTCAAAATCAATTGCATTTTCAGCTGGAAGGTACTCGCCAACAATATATTTTTTACCTACTATTGTTTTGGTATTTTTACACTCAAAACAAATTATGCAATCTTAATATTATATGATATAAACACGTTTTTATTTTTAGCTGCTGACATTTTGGAAAAAGAACCATGGCGTAAAATGCCATTGACTACCACTAAAATACCTGATGTAAGTAGGATTTATTAGCGAGATTTTTATTTCTATATGATGATGCATACATGTACATAGACAAAATAAATAAATAAGAGAAATAGCAAAGAAATAATAACATCAATCATTAAGGTCGGATTCTCCTCATATTTCTTGTATTTAATTATTTATGAATTTTTTTTTACAGAATCAAGAATACAATATCACTGAGTAACTGTTTAATTTAGATTAAATTTGACCGTTATATATAAGCTTTACCTTTACCAAATTGACATAAAAGTTTTAAATAAAATGGATATTTGCTATTCCAAATTTTCTCTACCTTCTTTTTAAAAGATACATTTAGTTATTTTACATGCTTCCTACATTTAAAGTTTTCTTATTTTCACTATGGTAAAGTTTTCATATAAAGATACAAAATGACATTAAAATTATGATCTTTTACTAAGAGAAAAAAAATTCTCTTTTACTGTTTTTAGGTTCAAATATTTACTTAGATTGGAAGGTTTTAAGAGCTAAGTTTAATGAGATATATTGATTCGACATATGAATAAAGTAACCACATGTATTGTTATTTCATCATATGTCATATATTTATCTAGATATTGAGTTGAACCAAACAGCAAGTTATATATTCTTGTCATGTAAAGTTTTTTTAAAAATATAATCTGTGTACATATAACCCAGTATATGACCCGGTACGCCCCTGTATGTGTTCAATGAAGCAAAATGAAGAAGTACACACACTCCCAGAGTTACATAAGATGTGGAATTACCAATTTAGAACACAGAGTAAGAACTCTTAAATGACTAAAAACAATCTTTGCCTACAAAAAACAATTTTTCTTTTTTTAAAAATTATTATTGAATTATTTTTTTGGGATTAATTAAAGATTCATAGCGCATTTAATAGTCATTTTCGCCTACTCTAGTGGTAATTTTATAAATACTTTGTTTCACCAAAATTTTGTCATACAATACTCAATTATTAATAGTTCTTTCATATGATAGTTATAAAACTCGTTCAGTTTATATGGAGAATATAGTAAATACTGAGGTACCCCCCTAAACAATGACAAACTGTAGGAAAAGACCACCCTTAAACCAGAAAAACAACTTCTGAATAATTTTATTTGGATATGACTTTACTTCATTACGTTTAGATAACGTTGGTTAAAAATGGTCTTCATAATGAAAAATGTTGAAAATATATATTTAATTTTTCTTCAAAAATTATTTCAAAATTCAACAATCTCTGTCTTAATTTTATCTATCTGATTTCCAAGACTTCGTGGCGAATTGGTTTAACTGCTGGATTGAAGATATAATGATCGTGAGTTCGAGCCTCATAGTGCGTGTTACTTAACTATGATTTTATTTTTTATCTCTGTGCATTTTCCTATGTTTTCTTTTATTATTTTATAATACAAGTATGAATAATTTGTAACAGAGATATATAATACATTACACATTGCGAATTTCCTGGGGGAAAACAGTCTTGAAGTATTTAAATGACCCAACGTTATAACTGCTACAGTAGTCTGTTTTATTTTTAAAACTTTCAAACAATCTTGTTTAGAATAAGAGTACTGTAAAACACTTTTTATTCGCGAGATCTCTATTTTTCGCGTAATAACGCGAGACACTGTGCTCGCGAAAAATAAGTTCTCGCGTTTAATAGTATTCCTTAAGATTATATACACGTAAAGCAGTAACCACAGTTCCTAAAAAAATTGTTTCGCTTATCAAGAGTCAATGACTATCTCGCGAAAATAAGGTGTCACGAAAATTTAGTAATCTACAGTATTGGACAAGTAAAATTACTGTCATGCAACAAACTTGCAACTATGAAAATATAACACTGATTCACAAATGATTACATACATGTAGTTTGATTTTAAATTGAAAATCTACAAGTATCTATAAATAGATAATATGTTTTCCTTTTAAATACTTGAGTAGGCAGAGTCGTCGGTAAGACAGCTTTGGCTCTTTATTTATTTATTTTTTTATTTATTTTTGCATACATCCGTTTAATACATAAAATACATGAAGTGACTTTGCGCCTTTTGTGGAAAAAAACACAGTAGGTGTTTTGCTGCATTTTGTAAAATTCCAGTTTTTAAGATTGATTGATTTTCTTTAAAAAAAACTTATTAACTCTACGAAATTAAAATTGTAAAAAGTCAATCTTTTTTTTTTGGACGATTCTCAGAATCCCCCCTGATCATATTATGATAGTTTGTACATTTTATTGAATTTGACTTCTAAAAACCTGCAACTTTAAAAACGAGCGCTGTTGGCTCAAAATACTAAGACACTAGAAAATAGGAAATTCAAAATGAAATCTTTCCATAAGTAAGACAGATTTTCCTGCGCTATATTCCCAGATCTCTTTCGCTACCAGTAGCAAATTTGTTTTTTTTTAATGAAAAAAACAAAGAAGAATTGATGTTGTAGACCAGGATACTTTTACTTTTCTTTTTGTACAATTTAGCTTAAAAGTGACAAAAAAATTATTTACTCTAAAATATATTTCTTTTTTGCATGATGACATAATTTATCTTGCATATAGTGGCAGAAATATGCCACCATATTTCATGTTTTATCAGACGCTCGGCTGTCTCTGTCTATACTGTGTATCATGTAATTTGATCTTTGGATCAAAGATGCAAATGTATTATGTTTACAGGAATTTGATCGACCAAACACTTACTCTGTAAAGCCTATTATGATTATAAGTATAATTTAAAGAATTGTCGGATACCAATTTACTTTGTAGTTAAAATAAATCAAATTCTAACTGGAAATCACAAGAAGGAAGGGGCAATTGCTGTCTTTCATTTTCCCCTACATATTATGTGCTGTGTGCCTTACTAGTATTTTAAAAAACAAAATGATTATTGATTGCGAAAACTAAGACAGAATTAAACTAAAGGCAATTTTTTAATTTGAACATTAAACTTCTAGTAAGCATTTAAATGAGTAAATATGCTCTGTTTTACAGATGAGAAGGGAACTAATGGGGAAAATAAAAACATTTCAAAAGAAGGGAAACGTGAACTTTTTGAATATTCTTCTTCTCGGTCAATCTTCGTCAGGCAAATCATCTTTCGTAAATTCCTGTGCAACAGCTCTGTATGACGCTAATAGAATTGTGACACCTTGCGGAGTTTTGGAGCCACAATCAGAAAGTGTTACGGCACGTGTAAGTATACTATTCTTTGAGAAAAAGAAATATTCACTAGGGTCATTTTAAAATCATTCTGAGAATTGCCCGTGGTGATAGTTATGTTCCCCAAACGGAGTTTGGGAACATATTGTTTTTACTCGGTTTCTTATTATTAAGGTCTTTCGTCTTCACGGAAGACCTTATAGTGATTCTATTGTTCCTTATTATTAAGGTCTTGCGTCTTCACGGAAGACCTTATAGTGATTCTACTGTTTCTTATTATAATTATTCTTTTTTCCTGTCAAAATTTTGTGCAGGCGATTTATCGAGAACTATTCAGCTGTTTTCGATGAAATTTTCAGGAAATAAAGATCATTATATGAATATTATATATAATTCCGTTTTTTGGAAAATTCGCTTCCGGTGCCAAGTTATGGGCAAGTTCCTGATTTTAAAATGCAATTTTGTCGCCCCTTTTTATTGTAAATGGCTAAAGATATGAACTGAAGACTTATTGGAGACGATAGCTTGTGACTATCTGGTTTGCAGAATCACTTTTTCGTTCGTCGTCAATACTTCCGGTCGATTTGAGATGCAAATTTAAAAAGTCATATTTTCTAACTTTTTTGTTTTCAAATATTTTTTTTTTATTTTTGGTATGTTAATAGAAATTTTCTTATAATACTTTCTATATAATTTGTTTGAATATTGATAAATCTGAACTCTAGATATTAGCATTTAAAAATCTGAAGCGGGTCCAAAATGGCGGCTCTCTCTGTCAACTCCTATATTTTGCGATAGGGGTTTACGGAGGCAGCTGAGCGTTTGCTTGAACGAAATAACATAAGGACAAATGAAATGTAAAGGAATACTTGGATTGTCACGTCGTAGTTACGTTGCAATTCGGTGTCAAACTAAGTCCTTCTTAAATGTCTTCCATAATTAGTTTCGGTTAGTTCTTAAAGTAAAAAAAGAAAAGACTAAATGTGCAAATGAAATTCGAGACTTAATATTTTATGATTTGCACCACGGAAAAAAACATCTTAAATCATTGTTATAAGCAATAGTTTTCCAAGAAAGAATATCAATGAATACAGTAAGTACCCGGTATATAACTTATCCACTGTTTTTCCCATGCACACTTGTGCCATATAAAACTAATAGAAAAAAACAAAACCATTTTTTAAAAAGATCAGAAACTGTTCACCCAACTGAGCTAAAATCTTTTTAGGGTTAATAGGTGTGTAGTGTAGGTGTGCGGAACGAAGGTCATTTTGCAAAATGAGTGAAATGAGAAAAATACTTAATATGGCCATAACATTTTTATGAAATCACGCGCATGCACAAGTGCTGCAATCTGATTGGCTGAAACTTGAAATGGCTGTAACTCCCTCGGTTTTCAACGAAACAATATGGCATTTAGAACATAGATAGATATAAGGGCCTCCTACAAGAAGGTATGGTCATCATGCACGTGCATGCACGTGCATGCATTTGGAAGGAGTGAAATCAAAAATACACTTGAATGAGTCATTTTTAATACTTTTGAACTAAATGCTACATTATATATTATATTCAAATGTACAGATAGTGTAAACAAGATGATAATTATTATCACTACGCATATGCATTCATGTTCGCATGCATGAAATGCTAAAATTTGAATATAATTCGTATCCATCTCGAAAAACGTTGTTAAAGTAAAAAATGCACAGAGGTTGTCTTATTTAATAAGGCTTATAGGGAATATGGCACCAAAAAGTAGTTGGGGAGCGTTTGGGGAACATCTGTAACGGTTCCCGTTACAATTAATACTAGTTTTTTGTTTTGAGAGATCTGTCCTCAGTGAAAAGCAAAGAAAAGCAGACGGTCACTTTTACTTAGCAAAGATGGAGGAAATATAAATCATGCACTAATAGGTAGACACACAATGAACGATGACATAATAGCCTACCGGTATTGCAAAAAGGACACCCGTTCGGGAGTAGATTTGGTTTATTAAAGATCAGACTACCAATTAATAGGCCGACAATTAAGCAGAAGTATGCACATTATAACCAATTACAAAATGAAACATGAAATTCTTCAAAGTTTTATTCTAACAGTCTTACTTATGAAACAAATTATGTTTTCAAATATTTCAAAAATCCTATTTTGCTGTTATCATGTGACCGAAAATAAAGGATTCTGAAATTTTCGAAGAAATAACTTTATAAAACGGAGCAGTGACATTGCGTACATTGTGATATCTAAATTAATATTAAACCATGTGGTCCCGATCACAATAAATTACTTTCATGTAGAAAATGGTTCAATAAAATGTTTTACCTCTCAATTAATATCTATATATTCTATCCACTTAAAATTCTTAGAATAAAAAGCTTCTGTCAAGAAAATGCTACTTAGGGTTAATTTTGATAGAAAGAAGCTACTTGCTTACAAAATTACAAAAAAGACTTCAAATATCAAACAAAGTATTATACACAAGCCTAAGATCCTATTTAGATTTCAATAAGGAGAAATCAATCAATCTGGATAGACAAAAACTTTGTTTGACAGGTATTACAATTAAGGCATTGTTGCAACGCACTTTGAATTTGTTAAAATTGGGACAAAATCAACGCACTTTGAAAAATGTTTTCAAAGTGCATTAAATCTGAGACATACTCAACGCATTTTAAAAAAAAAATCAAAGTGTGTTTAGATGGTACATATGCATTTCTACCACGGGGACATTTTACGCACTTTGAAAAATAATATGATGAAAACAAAAAAATCTGGACTTAGACTTAAGTAAATGAGAGAATCAATTTGTTATAATTATATCTTTCGAAAAACAATTTACATATACTCATTTAACACCATTAAGACCAAGGAAAAGTAGAGGGTCTCTCAGCTTGACTCTTTTTTTATTATACATTGTATATAGCTGTCGGTAGCAAATTGAAAGTGGACCCCACCAATGTAAGCCGAATTTTCAATGCCTATAATATGTATATATTTGCAAAACATTTGTGTGTCCAACCCCCCCCCCCCCACTTATTGTACAGATGCCTATGGTACACCCACATATATGTACAGTGTATTTGCATAACAAGTATAACATTGAAAGCTTTCAATAAATTTTGTTTTACATCAAATGCATGCTGATTGGAAAAAAATAATTACAGTATAATAAGAATTAAGAGAGTAAAGGTAAAGAGTTTTCAAAGCTTAGAAAAATCGAAATCGCTCACTTTCACATTCTGGAGTGACCTCATCACCGACGAGTTATCAAAAAGGTTAAATTATTTAGCATACCTAAGATTTGAAAGAATATTGACCAAGCCATACACATTTTTTCAAAGTGCTTTAATATGGTCGATATTAACGCACTTTGAAAACAAATTTTATTTTTTCAAAGTGCGTTAATTTGGTCCCAAATTTAACGCACTTTGAATTTTTTTTTTCAAATGCGAAATTTTTCAAAGTGTTTTGTAACAAGGCATCCTCAATTGGTACGTGTGTTATGCCCATTTATCATATTTGCATTGTTTATATACATTCATAATTATACTGATATCGACCAGTATTCGTTTTCTTACATTACACCCAAAAAATACAGTGTGTATCCAATCTTTTGGGTTTCCTAAAATGAAGACTAATCAGATGGGCACTTTAGCAGTGGGGAGTCAGGAATGGATTGTCAAGAGTAAAAAGAGGGTTCATGAGATGAAAAATTATAAATCTTTAGTGATCATAATTCCTCCATTTTCAGTTTCTCTATATTTTCCATATCCGGACGCATATGTATATTAATAAAAAAATACAGTTTTTGGTACCATTAAAGAATTTAAATACACATAACGTTGCTTAGGTGTAATTTGGCTGTTCTTAATATTTTTTTTAAAAATCCAAATTCTACTGAGTTTAATCTATGTAATAAGCAACCCCCCCCCCTCCCAAAAAAAACAAACATTTTTTTTGTACCCAAATATCGATTTCTTATACATTGAGTATGCATTGCAAGGAACATGATACGATTTCAATACAAAGAGGTTTGGCCCTGTAGTTTTTATAAATATGAAAACTAAAATACATTCTTTCTGAATTCTTAAAATTCCATGCCACAAAACTCTACAAATCGTTTTCTTATATGATCTTCTAGTCGTCCGCGTGGCGCAGTGATTAGAGCCTCTGGTCTAGAGTCGCGAAGTAAAGGGTCAATCCTTAGGTCGTGGGTTCGAATCTCACTGTGGGACGTGGAGACCGGTCCTTCTGATGAGACCGTATAAACCGAGGTCCCGTGTCGCGGTAGGTTTTGGCACGAAAAAGATCCTCCCTGCTCAATAGCCCTGAGTGCCGAGTATAGGACAAAATTCTGGTGGCGTCTCCATATGAGTGAAGAATTTCCGAGAGGGACGTTAAACAAAATACAATCAATCCATCAATATATGACATTTTAAATGCTGATTAAACTTGTAAATTTTAATTTCCTGTATTTTCAGAATGATCATTCACACAAACAGATTCTTTAATGATACATATTCATCTACTCAGCTCATATTAAAGCCAATTTCATATGTTTTTGAGAACGTTACATTTTTAGGGCACAATATTGCCCAAAGTATACCTTCTTCTTTTCATTCCAATCTCTATCTATCTCTTCAGTGAATAATTAGGAAAGCTTTTTTTTCATTTTCCATCTTTAATATAGCATCATTAATAAATACCGCTGATCTTGATTTCAAAACTTAAAGAAGATGAAAATAACATACATTTTAAAAATATTTTCAAAGTCTGAATATTCTTATAAATGTTATATTTTCAAACTCTTTAAATTAATGTAAACTGTAAACGATTCTTACACGTACTTGTATATCGTGATGAAAAAATACTTATCATTTATTTTTAGTTGGAAGCACATCCTATTAAGATATCATCGACAGCGTTTCTCCCAGTACGAATATTTGACTGTCGCGGTCTTCATGATTTAAATGGAGTTCACAGTGACGATATTAAAAACATGTGTGATGGAAGAATAAAGAATGAATATACAGTAAGTTTCTGACTCAAGTCAGTGAATTGGTCACGTATTGTTATAACACATATGAGGGTTGTTCGGAAATTATTGATACATAGTGTATTTTTGATAATTCAATATATGTTTATAATTTTTCGATTTCATTTTGTCTGCATGTCGTGCATGTTTTTTTTTTAATTCTGATCAGAAATACGAAGATAATTAAGCGCATTATAGAATTCTGATAACGACAAAAAGAGGGAATTTGACGTCAAGGCAGAGCAGCAAGAGACTTAAAATTTTGTATATAGCTAATAAAAACACTTTTCCAGACTGCCAACCTGATAAAACAATAAAACAACACTAAAACATGTTAAAGAATGTTGTGTCATTGGTTTATATTTTTTCTGACAATTAATTCAACCAGTGTAAATTCAACAACTCCGTACGACCATCAATTTTACCCCAATGGAATCAGTAAGGTTGACCCGCCTTGCAGAAATCGCCAATTTATTAATTTATCTATAACTTAGAAATTTTTCATATTTGTTTTATCCTTTCTTTCTAAAATGGTCGCACGTGGTGCAGTGGTTAGAGCGTCCAGCACTAAAATTGCGAAGTAAGGAGTCAATCCTTACGTCGAATGTTCGAATCCTACTGTTGGACGTGGAGACCGGTCATTCAGATAAGACTGTATAAACCGAGGCCCCGTGTCGCAGTAGGTGCTGGCACGAAAAAGAGCCCTCACTGTTTAAAAACCCTAAGTGCCGAGCATAGGACAAAATTTGTAGCCCAGCGTCGGCAAGTAGTGGAGTCTCCTTAAAAAATTCAAAAATTCTCGAGAGGGACGTAAACAACATACAATCAATCAATCAATCTTTCTAAAATGTAGACGAATTTTCCTGAATTTATCTCTACTTTTTATAGAGTTAATGTAAATGTCTTTATAATTGTCGAACAGCCCTCGTATGTCTTATGTGTAAATATTTTAAAGTTTAGATTATCATTAGCATATGTCATTTTAATCTCTGCAACAGTGAAATAAAAAAAAACTAGAGGTACTGTGAGCATTGAGCTCACTAAATGATACCCCCCGCCTCCCATATGGTTATAACTGATGACAAAGTCCATGTTTTGCCATGGCCGGGAAACCCAAAATATGTGTCAGATCAAAAAGTAAAATAGGAGGTGCACAATGGCAACATGTAGTAAAGATTTTGTGAAAGTTTCATTAAATTTCACTCAGTGGTATAAGAGGAGTTGCGGATAAGAGATGGGTACCCTAAAGCGTAACAGACGGACGGACGGACAGCTATACAGACGGACGGACGGACAGACGGACGGACGGACGGAATTACCGATTACTATATACCCTCCCGCTTTTCAAGCGGGGGGTATAATAATGTTTAAGTACTAGTATTCCTACATATTTTCAATATTTTCTGTTAAGACTGTTCCCAATGAAATAATTTGCATTGTTTCTAATACAAGTACATGTACATGTAACAATCGTCAATTTCTTCAGTTGTATTTGGGAATTAACCGTAGTGGTACCGTACTGGTTAAGGTGGTGGGGTTGTGTTGGAGGTACTTGTTTTTTCGAAAGAATGCTATATATTTGAGCTCTTTTTCATTGCTCCTTTTTATAATTATTATTGAATCGGAATAGACTTAAAGGGTTATTGCCTTCAATCTCAAAGAAATCATTGAATTCTAATTTGATTATTTTTTTTTCCATCTTTCCATAATCTTGAATGTGTCTCTTGTGAATTTTTTTTTCAGTGGACGTCTTTATATTTTACCCTCCACTTTTATCTTCAGATCGTAGATTCTCCTGAACATACTGTTGAAATTAATGTCTTCTGAAATAATCCATTCAATGGGATCAATTATTCTTCAATTAAAAAATGTAAAATTAAAAAAAAATCGAAACTGAAAAACTTTACTATGATGAATCTATGCTATTCATGTGGAAAAATATTATTTGTATGTACATGACAAACGTAACATTTTTCGTGATTGATATGGTTTGATTAGTCTATTCATATAAAAGGCATTTTATTTTTTCTATGGCGACTTCATAATGGAAGCGGTATATTCTTTTATTTTTATTAGTATCTAGCATTTCTTTTCAACACGAAATACACAATGGCTGACTAAATCAAAAGATTAAAAAAAACATTATTTTCAGTTAAAAAAAAAGCCAAAACGTCCCTTTGTCTTTCAAACACTTAAAGTAATTTCAAGCGTAGACCAACTATTTCAGTTTCAAAATAAAAACAAAAAAAACATGTTTGGGAAAATCCATTTTCTCTAACTTTCAAGGAATTTATTCGGATATTGTGTTACAAAGACAATATTCTTTATTTCAAATGAAATTGAGTTAACTGGTGAATGACTTGCAAGGGGACAAGCAGATTCTTAATAAGTTATTGAAAGTTATTAAAAAGAATAAATCTGGGGAGTTTAACATTGATGTAGGATATTTAAACAAAGGTTACTTTAAAAATGATATGACGTATTTAACTTTTTTTTCAAATATGAAAAGTGTACATAGGTCAATTTTAAAGCGACCGAAAAAGATTCCAAACATACGATAAGTCCAGTTATCATTTCTCAGGTCACTGAAAGCGTTTTTTACAATATTTTAAAAAAGTTAACCCAGCTTGCACTTGAATTCAACTTCAATTTAACTTCTAAACACATAAAAATCTGGTTGATTGATTTTAAAGTAATCCATAGCTCTTCTTATAAAGAAAAAAATCATAATGGCTGTTTTTGTGCAAATCAAATTATTGTACACGAAACTGTTTGAAAACATATCAGAGAAATATGAAAAAAAAAAATGCAGGCATAAATACCCTTTCAATGCCATCAACATTGGGCACTTACTTTTTGGCAGCAGTGTCTACTTTTTGTCAAACATAATCTTTTGATATAGAAAATATTCCGGAAAGGCAGATATACTGAATGATTCAATATACTGTGAAAAATATTCAAATTACATCACACAAGCAAAAGTCAAAAGTTATTCTTCATTTATATTTAATCTTTATTGATTTCGACCAGTCAATTTTCACTGCATTGTATTTGTAGTTTTTTTTTTATTTCAAACTCACTTCCTCTGTCAGCCAGTCTTTAGTCTTCAGCCCTCTTGTTGATACTGGTTTATATATAATATGTATTGAGAATTTAACTTTATTTTGTGATTTGATTAGTTTGACCCGACGCTCCCAGTCAGAAGTGATAATGAGAAATTTCGTGAAAGACCGCAATTACAGGATAGAATGCATTGCGTTGTATACGTTGCTGCTGCAGACAACCCAAAAGAACTTTTAGCAGATGGACGAGCCAATGAACAGCTAAAGGCGATAAGAGCTGTATTATCTGCGGCCAGTAAGTCTTGCTTTATAAATTTATTTTACTTGTAGATGTGAAATAAAGAAATATGCATTATGTTTATGTTCCCCGCTTAAATGCATTAAATGTTGTATGTGTTTTAAAGAAAAAAAAACTCAATATCCTACCAGAATAGATTATTGCAAAATTGTGCGTAATTACTAGTATTCATTATTTTGTTTGAATTGTTCATTAAATACAATGTAATTCATTGAAATATGCAAACGAAAAGTATTTTCTCTCATCCATTCTATATTTCCGTGAAATTATAATCTTTAACACAAATCCAGCTGTCAAAAGCAACTAATTTATTTAAGGGTCACCATGCTTAATAAACACAAACTTGTTGATCATACGTTCATTGTACATTCATACGCTATTCAAAATGTCCCAGGCAATATCATAAAAAATCATTTTTAATATTTAATAAATATAAAAGTAGTTATCTTCTCCGGGAAATTTCTTTTGTCTTTTTTATAGTTTGTTTCAGCTCATTCAGTCCTTTTTAGATAGATTAGATTAGATGGCTAAATAGATTGATTGATTGATTGATTGATTGTTGTTTTATGTCCCATTTCAGAAATTTCACTCATAACGAAATGTCACCAAAACCGGTTTAAGACTTACAAAATATACCTTTTCAAGGCATTTAGGGCCATCAGAACAGCGATTGATCTTAATGATGCGAACGACTTCCTTGAGAAGGTGTCTAATTAGACAAAATTTCAACATTTCAAAGGATCAACAATTAATGCAATGGGCATGGACATTTCGCGCCCTTCGAACTCAATCTTTAGATCCCACTTAGGAAACACTGTTCCATTTTCACCCTATAATCATGTGAATAAATTCCGAGTTGTCCAAAATAAAAAATTATGAGCTTGTCTAGGCCAGCCTACGAAATTTTTGTCTGGAAAATACACTTAAGGTCGCACACAGCTTGCATATCCAATATATATCTCCGAAGAGTTCCATAACTGGTGCAATAATAAGCTCGTGTGTACCATCAATGACTCCACCACCATTATGAAATCTCTATTGATTATTGTATCCTCTGATAATACTTTTATTGCCCTTTTCAGAAGGAAAAACAACTATGCTTATGTTTAATAGCAATGCATAGATTGTGAACATGTACATATGTACAGATGTATAGACTCACACGATATCAGCTTCCAAACTTTGGACAAGTTCCCAAATATTTGGCACTCTATTGTCGATGTCAACCCGTACAAATTGTAAAATATTATAAAAAAGCTTAGCAAAAAACTGTCAAAGTATCATATTTGACGATAACGATTATGGGCGGATATTCATGTTTCAAATTGTAAGCGTAGATTTGGTTAAACGCTTACTGAATTTGCCATAGATAAATGGATGCATATGATTTGAAGCACGCGTCTTTCCCTTAAATTCGCAAAAAAGAATACATGACTAAGATTTATATGTTTAAAGACACTCTTACACCGTTTTGCAGATTTTATATGCATCTGTGAATGGGAAATGTAATTTCTGTATTTATATATTCCTACACAAAAAACATCATCAATAATAATAAAAAAATGAAATGAACTTAAAAATTGATGATCAACCATTCTCCATTTGCAAATTAATAAGGGGCTGAATTATTTTTCCAGATATTCCTCAGCTTGTGCTTTTAAACAAGATTGACCGTCTAGGAATGAAGGACATTACTACAATTTTTAGAAATAAGTTGGTAAAAGAAACATGTGAAGGTGCCATGGAGTTTATGAGTTTGCCATTAGGAAATGTTCTTCCTATGATTAATTACACGGAAGAACAGACTCCAGACAGCATGAAGGATTTCTTAGCCTTGTTCAATTTGTGGTATATGATGTCGAAAGCTAACGACTACGTAGGGCTTCAATCGGATGTGCCTGAAGGTTTTAATGATTAGCTTTCCTTTATGGCCATCTCTAATATATGTAGTTCTCTCTGACGTTCACGTTGATTATTAATTAGTGATTGAAGGATGTACACATGTACAACACATGAATATCTTATTTCTTTTACGATTGTGTTACATTATAGATGTCTAGAAGTTTCGTACCAGTATGTGAACAATATTTTCTCGTTTTAGCTGGATAAGGTATATCTGTGTACATTTATTTTTACTATTTGTAGCTTTTCCTATATTTTTGCTAATATTCTTTAATGTATATTCTTCTAAAATAGTTAATCTTCAATAAATTTTCTCATAGATTTTACTATCATTTTCATCCTTTTCATTTTGTTCATGTATGATGTAGGTCCAGTTCTACCGGCAATTTATTGTAGGTTGCCCAGACGCTAATTGTATTGATCTAAATACAACTCTAATATGCCTTAAATTATAAAGTATTTAATGAAAAAAGTCCTAGATTTTGAACAAAACTTACGTCATCCGGGATGTTCGCTAAATTGTGGATATTTAAGAAATAAGGTGCGTATCATTTTTTGAGTTTTATTGAGATGTAAAACGGGTTGGCACATGATCAAATCTTCCATAAAGCCCTTCGTGACTTATTCATACTTTAAATTGGCCTGATTGTTACTTTTAACGTGTAAAATGCGTTAATTTTCAAACCCAACGGCATGTTTGTAATCCACTTAACGCGCGTCGAGCCTTTATGACGTCACAGAGAAATTACGTCGAACGTTTATCCAGACACACATCTATGACCTCTTGACCCCGTACCTGTATTTATAAAGTTATAAAAACGCTTGCTTTCTGTAGTGTTATATAAAGGAAAACGTTTGCAAATGTAAATATATACTCAACAAAAAAAGAAACGCATATTGTTTTACTCGTCAAAGAAATTTTTAAAATGTACATGAAACAACTATTTTTTTATGTCATTGGATACCTGTGACCTATTTAAAAGTCAAAATGGGGTTTCAAAACCCAAGTGTTGAATTATCTCCCTTGATTAAATATGTTTATGAAAGTAGTGTTTTTCATGATTTCTTCTAAATAGAATGTTTATTTTCGTTGATATTTGGGATTTAGAGAAACTTTTAACACTCCTATTAAACCCATATTTAAGATTTGATTGCAGTGTTGATACTGCAATGCCACGCCGAAACAAAGATGAGCACAACCAGGCTAACGATGATACTAAACGGAGCTACGCAACAGAAAGTTGCAACTGTATTTGGAATAAATCAATGGGCTTTGCAACCGTTAAACTAACGTCTGAAGACCACTATCTGGCCATCTGCAGGTAACCAAAACCAGGCAGGACCGTCAGACCCCCCCCCCCCCTTTCAGCACCTCATGCGATTCAGAACATGTTGTAAAAACTGCTGCTACAATTGCTGGATGAAAAAATCAGCGTAAAAGTGCATAAATTGTTCGCAAGAGACTGAAATGAGATGGTATTCCTCCACGATATCCATACATTGGAAACCCACTAGCATTGAGACGTCGCACAGTACATATTGTTATGCCCCTTGAATTTGGGGGCGATAAAAATGACATCAACTTGACTTTTGAATTTGCAACAAAGGACATGTTTGATTTTTATCACAACACACTCTAAAATCGCTTAAATAAAAAAAGGTTTGAACTGAAAACTTAGATTTTCATATTATTCTGATTATGCGTTTCTTTTTTTGTTGAGTATATATAAGAAAAGAGCAAGGCCTAGTCGTAAATACATGTATGTTTTAGTTCTTGTTTTATCCTTGATAACAGGGAACATTGTATATCTCACAAAATTCACCATGTTAAAAAGATGCAAAAATAAGCTTACCACTTCGATTCACAGCTTAAATGTATACTGTATATGAATAAAACACACTATTGAAAAAAAAAAACAATTGAGTGAAATTGTAATTTGTGGGATCCTATCAAAACAAAAATTGCACTAAAATAAGACTGTAACACGCTTATGTGTATTTGCACTCATCGGCGGAGATGCGAGTTCTGAAGTTAAAAATAAACACATAGATGCTGTCCTCTTGGGTGACCTTTTAATCTAATCGAACGATTCCCAGAATACACGATTCATTACAATGCGGTTGTTTACTTGTTTATCGGAAGATGTATTTGTTTAGGAGGAAGATGCAACCAATGAGATTGGAGTGACCAGAGTTCAGGTGTTTGGATAAATTAGCTACAATAAATAATATTTAAAGATTATGCAAAAGATTGGTAATTATTTTTAAAAATGCATTAGAAGTTTTAAAAGTACTCAAGGTCAGAATAATAGTAATTAAATTCAAATCAAAATTTAAAGTTATTATTGCAAACTTCGAAGGAGTTACAAATATGGAAATCTACAAATGTAAACCTAGTATGAAATAAACGGCCGGGATAGACAAGATTTCAGTGCAAAGCTGAATCTTGATTGTCTTGGTTGCATTTCATACAGGTGAGATAATTTTCTAGATTTGCGCGCTTTTTGACAAATTATTAAAATTTTCACATGACTTAATTTATGTACAGGTTACATTTTTTAAAAAATATTAGAACTAATAATGTTAAGTATATTTAGTATATTGTAAGAAATTATTTATTGTAATCATAACAATTACAAATAGATTGTTTAATTTAATAAAAAGTGGAAAGCTGAATCTTGACTGTCTTGGTTGCATTTCATACAGGTTGGGTAACATCTCCACTCCCCAACCATGGCAGCTGCTCTGGTTCACAAATTTAAAAAGAAGTAAATCATAAAAGAGAATAGCAAAATTGAGTAATCCCGGTACCTCCACAAGCCATGCAAGTACCAGTGAATGGGTTAACCAGATAATGAAAACCGAGCAATTATCATTGTCTATTTTATTTATTTTTATGATAAGTGACCCGGTTATGATACGTGGTGGAGAGTCCTTCTAACCGCAGATGCAGATTCAGAAGGAATTTGGAAACTCTCAGATATAGAAGAAATTAGCCTTTGACAGTTCTCTAAGTCACCCCCCCCCCTCCAGACGAGGATTAGTGCACAATCCCGCTAGATTTTCGGAGAGAGGACTCGAATACAGGCGAGACACGCACCAGAGCCGTCAGACCAACGACGAGGCCAAGTGACTTGACACTCCTAGGGCAGAAACAACTATAGGACTTACACATTTTAACAAAATTGAGCCGACCGCGAGTCCAGTGCAACAGCTGAAACAGATGTGCTAATAGGACACCCGATCCGACTACTACAATCCCATCCTTTAGTGGCCAGGAAAACGAACAATTTCATGTTGTTTTAAAATAACGACTACCGGGGTATAGTTCTGTGATGGAGCCCCTGCTTCCGATTCCAAATGCCGATTTTAAGACAAATTATCCAATGATTGGACAATTTAATGTTGAGTCCTATAAGTAAGACTTTGAAAAAAAAAATGAAACTGAGTACAGGTAGGATAGGATTTTCTTTTTAAAATGCTTACCTTTGTTTTGCAAGAATTTTTTTACGACGACGGTATTTAGAATGTTGTCATATTGTTGATTTTTTTTTACATGGGCAATGTTTTATAAATTACCTGATAAAAAAGTTGTTGACGCTTATTAGGGACTTGCATAATAAGAGATGAAGTGTTCTTAAAGTTAAATTTATGAGACGAAATCAAAAGAAAAGAAAAACTATAAATAAGAAGGGCCTTGAACGATAGTAGAGGGCCCCGTTGACCATTTGTTTAAGTTAAGCAATTACAGAAAAAAAAATCCAATGGGAAGGGCCTTGAACGATAGTAGAGGAAAACCCGTATATCATTCATTTAGGTTGAAAGTCAAGTCACAAACTCTTGCGAGAGAATCTTATTAAAACCTTTCAATGGGAATTTTGAGGGCCTTGAAAGATAGAAAAGGGAAACCCTTATACCATTCATTTAGGTTAAAGGTTAAGTCGGGACTTTATAATAGTCAACCAAACAAGGGGTTTGGTGAGAAATATTTGAAGGGAAAATGATCGTAATCGAAGGGATATATATGTAGTTATTTTACATTCTTCTGAAATAATTACGAGAATCATTTCCCCTTTCATAAGTAATAATGACTTAACTTTTAATGATTTTTTTCAAAGCAGAGAGAATATGCGTCTGATATAGGACTATATGTATTTTAACGGGATAATGTCTTGTAATGAAAGTGTATACATGTACCTTGCGGTACTGTGAAAAACCTATTTTTTGTCAATTGTGAATTTAGATTTAACGTTTTTGATCACTACTGTATTTTTCTGCATACATTGAAAATACATGTGTTTTTACCTTTTTTTTAAAAATGCTTTGTGTGTGAGTTTAGTGAAAAAAGTTCGCGGACACATTGAATTACCTGTGAAGTATGACCTATGTCTGAATAAATTTTTTGTTTATTGGTATGTAATTAAGTTCATATAATGAAATCTTGAAAATTTACAACGATTTTTACTATTAGGTCATGGGATTCACGGAGCAATCACTTGACGTTTTCAACCCGTTAAGCTTTGTCGCAGTTCTATAAATCTTTCATTTCTTCAGATTTTTCTTATCTTTTTTCTACTTTAAAATTGAATATTTAACGTTTTTGATAACTTTTGTACTGTATTTACTTCTTTAAAAACGTCTATGCAGTTAATCGTGAAACTATGCAAAACCATATAGGCGCAATGCCCAAGCGATAAGGGGGTATTGAAGAAAAAAAAATGTTAATCCTTTCGTTCTTATGAAGCTACAACCATTTGAAAATTGTACATATTTTAATCTCTTTTCAGTTTTTTCGTGCACACATAATTTTTACGTTGTGTTTTTATTATCATTCATAAACGGCTAAAAAACAGTCATATACCCTCCAATTTAGTTTTTTTTTTTATGAAAAATGTATTTTGTAATTTTTTATCTTTGTGTGTGAATTTTATCAAAATAAAAAAGCTGTATACATTTCAGTAATCATAATATATTTATTGGAAAAAAGGTAAGATTTTATCTGTTTGACCGGTTTCGTGGAAATGTATTTCCTATATAGTTAAATTTCCTTTGTTAAAGCCATCTGAAAATACGTACTTTTAAATAAATTTCAAATAAAATTTAAGTCGGCGCGATAATATCAAAAACACATCACTTTGAACATTCGGTTAATATTTATGTTAAATTCGCAGCAAGAGCACAGTATCTAAACCACATACGAAAAAAACCGGAAGTTCTTGCGTTTCTTCATTGACAATATGATGCAGTCATCAGCATATGAAAATAAAGCGGCAATTAATCGAACAAATGTTAAGTATTTAAAAGTGTTGTGTATTAAAACACATAG